TTTATCTCTCCCTATATATATTTTTTTATATTTTTCTCTCTATACACTCTTTTTGTGCATATATATATATATATATATATATATATATATATATATATATATATATATATATATATATATATATATATATATATATATATATAAAATTGAAATTTGGATAGAGGAATATGCAAAATCCGCAACACAAAAGTCAATGTTTTTGGTCAGCTCAGTTTGGCCACTAATTCTGATTTGTACCCTTTTCTTTCGGTGTCTGTCTGCGTTTATATGATATCTAATCGTACTATCAATGTATTTGGGCTCTTCTAATCGACTCAATGATATCTAATCTGTCCGTGTCTGTGATATCTAATCTTGCTCATGTATTTGGGCCCTTCTGCCCTAAGCCGATTTAGGGTAGATTTGTCATTTTATTGTGCTTATACGTACGCAAAGAACGATGAGAATAAAAGAAGTGAACAGAATCCTCTTATCACGAATCTTGTGCTTGTAACCTAAAATTGATTTTTTTTTAGTTAGACAGTTTTAACATTTCGATTAACTTCAAAAATTTATATTGAAATCTTTATAACTACGAAACTAAAATATTTAGTTGTATTTACTATAATATTATCAGTTTTATCAATAAAAATACGAAACTGATGGACAAAAAGATAATTTCAACATCCTATTTATATTTTCACTAGTGAAGAGGAAGATGAGACAACGACATAAATGTGACTCAACATTTACATCGATGCTGACATAAATATAGATGCAGACCGATGAAAGATTTTCCCACTTAGCATATGTATTTACATTGACATAGATTTAAATGCAATGCGACGATTGCTCTACATCTGTGTCGGCACTAACAACGTTGTGAGGAAGGGTGACGTTGTTTTGCATTTGCATCAATGTCAATGTAGATATCGAGCATCCATTTCATTGCATTTGTATTAACACTGGTGCAATTACCATGTGACGCCGATACAAAACGACGAAAAAAAGTTACTAGGCATCTACATCGATGTTGATGCAAACGTAGAACGTTTGCATTTGTACCATCGTCTCATCTCTCATCCTCACTCTCTCTCCTCATCCCAACAATCACTTGTAACCCAACTATGTTGTCGTTCGTTATCATCAAAAATATAATTAAGATATTAATTTTTTTTATTAATTATTTATTTTTTTGGATAAAATTAATGATGTTACGATAAATAGAGTTAGATTTTTTATTTTTTTAATTATAGAGATTCTATGGTAACTTTTTTTAAGTCTAAATACTAAGATGCGGTAATACGTAATTAACCCACCCAAAAAAAGAAATGATGCACCTGCTTTAGAATACGTGCAGATCCCGGATTCCCGTTTTCCACAAGCACACGGCACGTACCTACCAACACCACCAGCTTGACGTCCCGTCAGTCGTTTCCGTTGCTCCTCTCTCCCACGTTAAACAACTCCGGATCCTTCGTTGGCTGCCGCAACAGCTGCTTTGTGTTTATCGAACTACTCCTCGGTATCGGTTAATCTAAACTGCTCCTCCGTTCTAATTCTAGAGATCTGGTCCATTTGGAATCGAAGTCGATTAAAAAGCGAAGCTCTTCATACTCCTCCGACTTACCCGTCAGTTTACCTGTCGTGCTATTGGTCCCTACGCAGATATACAAGGAAATTATCCCTCACATGCTCGCACGCCTCTATTAATCTCTCCTCTCGCTCTTCTTTGACGGCGTAATAATGGAGAACGGCCAAGAAAGCGGCGCCGGAAGCGAACATGCCACCGATGGAGGGAACCCTAATCCCAACCCGATTACGACGTCTTCGCCGACTGCCGGGGACGCGCCGCCCCCCGCTGAGGCGGGGCCCCCTCCCCCTTCGCCGCCCCCGGCCCGCACGCCTTTCACCAGCCTCAGCCAGGTCGATGCCGACCTTGCCCTCGCTCGCGCCCTCCAAGAACAGGTGTCCGTCCGATCCCTCGATCGCCTCCTGCTCCTCCGTGTGTGAATCACGTTTTAGTCTCGGGAGTGAGGGTTTTTGACATCCTTTTAATGTTGGCGATTGGGCGCAGGAGAGGGCGTACGCGATGCTGAGGATGAACGGCGTTGATGACAGCGATTACGAGAGTTCTGACGCCGGAAGCTACGATTACGATGGGGAGGAGGATGAGGATGGGGTGGGAGACGAGCCGGAACGTGTCGTCGAGGAGGATGACGGGAGCATCGAGGGGAGCGACTACGACGAGGACGCGTTTGACGCCAATGATTCTGATGCCGATCCAGCTGAGTTTGAAGACGATGAGGCATTCGCAAGGGCACTGCAGGACGCCGAAGAGCGGGAGGTGGCTGTACGATTGATGGCCCTCACAGGATTGAACGAATGTGAGAGGATGCTGGTTAGAGCTTACTATTTGTTGGATTATGGTCGCTTGGATCTTGAATTAACTTCTAGTCTGTTTCTTTTTAGGGGCGTCGGATGATCATGGGGACCATGGCAGTAACTCTCAGGTGAATTGCCAAAATTTTCTCTTGGATACCACTGGTTTCGTAACTCATATAAATCTTGCACTTAATGCTGTTGTTTGAATTGCAAAAAAGGTTTTGTAGTTTTCCCTCATTGTTTTGTGCCATATCTCTGCTATTTGTAAAATACCTGAAGAAACAAAGGTTTTGCTTATATTTTGAACACTTCTTGGCACTTTCTTATGTTTTGAATGATGCAGAAGTATAATACATGTCTTATTGGTACCCAAGAAAGATTTTTATCAACAAAGGACACTTTTTATAGTATTGAGAAGTAAAAAAGAACAAATAAATAAACATGTGTTGCTGCTATGTGTTTGAAGTCTTGTGCTTCCATCATGTCTTATGTATCTATCTATCATAATAAGTGTGTTTAGGACTCATGAAGTAAAATATTTCTCTCTGATTATTTTGACAACAAGAAAAACTTAAAGAATTGCTTCTGAAGAACCTACTGCATTCCCCCTTTGTGATTGCTAATCTTGTAGTTATGTATGAAAGTTGTTAAAATAAACATATGAATACAGCTCCTATTTGGTTTGATTGTGATTGTATGCTACTATCGATCTAATTGTTGGACGGTAAAAGGTTTAGTAACAACAAGAATGATCATATCCATCTCATCCTTGATCTCCATTCATATTATTGCAGCCAACTACTCTATTATCCTTGCTTCTTTTGTTACTCTCCTACAACCTTAGTTCATATTCAGCTTGGCATAACTATATTATTCTCACTTGTTGCCAAGTGATTTGCATTGGTCATTTTAAGTTAAAATTAAGTGTTCATAGCGAATTGGTAATTGATTGAGTCACCACTCCACAGATAGGAGACTGTTTAGCTGTGATGTGGTTCTTCTTATTACTTGTACAAGAAACCGCATTTGATAATGTTCACTCTCTTAGATAACAAAATACATATCATTTAGGATGTTTCTTAACAAAATTGTTCAGGAATCTAACAGCTTGAAGAGAGTCCGAACTTGTCCAAGTGCTTTTAAATTCATTAAATCCCTGCATGCTGTAGAGCCTCCAAAATTGCACAGCTCTCAACGTGAAGAACAATATGAGCTCATGTTGCGGCACAACTAGTAAGCAAGAATTCTTCCCTGTAAATCTTGAATGCATATCCCATGCTTGCTAATTTCAGATTAACTGGTGAAAGGAGCATCATATTCTAAAACAAAGTAATAATTCATAGGAAGATCTGGTAAGTCTTCCTGATTCATATACTCATCTGCCACAGACTATTGTGGAAGGCACCACTTCCCACAATTGTAAGCAAAAGCTTTACATTATAATGACGCAATCTGGGCTTTGCTGTTTAGAAAATGAAGTCATTAGGGTGATTACATAGGATCCGAAGAGAGTTAGCAATTACAGCAAGGAAACTTCCATTAGTCTCGTTATCCAAATCTGGCCCTTCCTCAATCCACTTTCCTGCAGCCCATTGATCTTAAAAGATGAACTCCCAGTTCGGTTAATCTTGCATAAACTGCCAATAATTGAGGGAATGGCATTCAAATGATGTGTCTGGCAGAATCGGAAAATGGCAAACAGACCAGGCAAGGCATAGGAGGAGAATTAGAGAATCTGGTAACAGGTCTGACATCGGATGTCTACCCGCACACAAGCTTTCAAATAAAGATCTTCACCTTAGGAACCACAGTAAGTTCCCAAATTGGCTTCCAGCCAGCCTAGCTGTCATTCAAACCAGTCCTTGCCTCTTTGAATAAGATTGGTTACTGTTTAATTTTGTGTAATATTTAAGGTTGGATGTCATAATGTTTGTGTCTAATGTTTCAGAAAGCACAATGTTGTGTAAGTTAAATAGTTACAAGTAACCACTAATATGTTTTCATGCTCTCATCAATATTGACCATTTACATCATAGACCAATTTAATTCAAATGAAAAGCTTTGGGAGAAATAAATGAAATGGTCAATTCAAACTCTGATCATTAAATTGGGGAAATGCTTGGAATGTAATACCTTGAACTTATGAGGTTGCCTTAAGTCATATTTTCCATTGCAGGATACTTGGCAAGAGGTTGATCCAGATGAATACTCATATGAGGTAAGAGATTTCCTTCCACCAAAAACACAAAAAGAAAAATCTAAGCCTTTCATTGCTTACTTCTCGAGTCAGTCTTTGATGTTACTGCTACTTTAGGAATTGGTTGCACTAGGTGAGGTAGTTGGAACCGAAAGCAGAGGTCTTTCTGCTGATACAATTGCTGCTTTGCCTTCAGTAAGTTACAAAGCAGAAAATGCGCAAGATGGCAGCGCTGAACAGTATGCATTTCCCTTTAGGCTTTTTGCTGTTGTCATTTATGTAAGATGTGATATTAGTCTAGTGACAATTAAATGAATGCTGCAGGTGTGTTATATGCCGGCTGGAGTACGAGGAAGGTGATTCTTTGGTGTTGCTTTCTTGCAAGCATAAATACCACTCTGAATGCGTAAACAAGTGGCTCCAGATAAACAAGGTAATACCCTAGAAAAAAAGAATGGTACCGCTTTATATCAGATTACCAATCTAACTTATCATTTGGTTTTTCTGCTTCCACATCCACCTTGTTAAACCCTCCAAAACGATTAGTGTTTTAATCGATTATATATTATTTTCCCCTTGTAGGTATGTCCTGTCTGCAGTGCTGAGGTCTCTACGTCGGAGAGATGATCCGATAAAACCAAACCACAATCATCTTCTTGCAATACTCTTCGATGCCATTGCTTCTGTCAGTTGGTTATTCAGCGCTTCGTTATGATGAAGATCGAAGCAATTGGTTGTAACTTTTTCATAAAATGCTATATTATGATGCAGTGTTTAAGTTAATGCATTCAATGTGCTAAAACCTTTTCTTTGTGTTAACATTTGTATGATAAGGAATACTGTGTTAAACCATGGTGCTAAAACTGTCATAATGAGAATTGGAATTGTCTGCTTATATTCCATGAATCCTTGAACTATTTTTAGGATATGTTTTTAATGTTTGGAAGCAACTGATGAATTTGTACAAATGCAAGATTATGTGAATCAACTCACCCATTAAATTGAATGAAACATTAAGATTATAAATAATATATATATCTCATTTAATATATATATATATATATATATATATATATATATATATATATATATATATATATATATATGTATATTTGTGTATGTTGACCTGGTCAACGTGGGAGCTCAGGCCATTTTAATTTCAGACCATCCACCACGTACAAAGTGGAGGGAGTGAAGTGGATGGAAAAGAGGACGCAGAGATGAAACACCACCACACCTTCGCACCTCTTCCCCCCTTCCTCGGGCTCTACTTAAGGGCTTCCCCATGGCCTCAGAACCTCAAGCCGTCTTCACCACCCCTTCTTCGCAACCTTAAGTACCTCGTTTACGTAGAGGAGCACTACACCCCCACCATTCTCTTCGTCGTCCCTGCTCCCATAGGCTGTCAACGACAGCATCGCGGTGCTCGCTTCATCATCCCATTCCCAGAGCCACGATGGTGGTGTCGCCGGAGACCATTGCCAGGTCGTCGATCCGAACTCTCTTCCTCTTGACCCTGCTGGTTAGCGACGTTGCAGGCCGTAAAGGTGGTACCTCCCAAGGAGTGACGTACGATCGCCGCTCACTGATCATAAACGGCAGGAGAGAGCTTCTCTTCTCGGGGTCCGTCCACTACCCCAGAAGCACGCCCGAGGTACCCATCAACCTCGCTGCTTCCACTCAATCATGACGCAGAGGCTAACCAGGTGGTTTCCATGGTATGTGTTTGGCTGATCAGATGTGGCCAGAGATCATCGCGAGCGCTAAGCATGGCGGGCTAAATGTGATCCAAACCTACGTGTTTTGGAACCTCCACGAGCCTGTGCAGGGGCAGGTACTCACGTTAATACACTCCTGTCAAAGAAGCCATAATGCAAACGAAGCATTGTTTCTCAATCTCGCATTGCTTCTCAATCTCGCATTGCTTCTCAATCTCGCATTGCTTATCACAGTACAACTTTCAAGGGAAGTATGACGTGGTGAGATTCATCAAGCTGATCGAGAAGAAAGGAATGTATGCGACGCTAAGGATCGGTCCCTACATCGAGGCCGAATGGAACTATGGGTAAATATATGTTAGCCCCTGCCCTGTGTTCTGTGTTCTGTGTTCTGTACATGCATCAGACGACTGACACTGTTGCTAGATGAACTTTAGAGGGTTTCCATATTGGTTGAAGGAGGTCCAGAACATTAGCTTTCGAACAGACAATCCACCCTTCAAGGTGTAGTAGGAAACAGTCTGCTGATGAAACATGATATATCCTCGTACATGATGTATTAACACTTCTCACTTGCGTGCAGTATCATATGAAAAGATTTGTGGAAAAGGTGGTTTCCCTGATGAAGGATGAGAAACTCTTTGCTTCCCAAGGTGGTCCTATCATTCTCTCACAGGTTCCGAGTCCTCTCGTCTCCTCCATGTTGGTCCATCAGTTCACCAACTCCTGCTTTTCCACTGAAACAACATACAACAAAATCTGACTGCAACAGGTTGAGAACGAGTACAATAATGTAGCTCATGCATACAAAGACGCAGGACTGAGATACGTGCGGTGGGCAGGCAACATGGCTGTGGATCTGAAGACCGGAGTGCCATGGGTGATGTGCAAGGAGAAGTCTGCTCCAGGTCCAGTGGTAAGCCTACATAGCTCAAGCAAAGTGATACATTCTACTTGTTGAGGCATACATATATATACACTAATGGGTCATGTAAAATGCAGATCAATGCATGCAACGGAAGGAACTGCGGAGACACTTTCGAAGTCCCTAATAATTCGACCAAGCCCTTCCTGTGGACAGAGAACTGGACTGCTCAGTAAGTATAAGAACAAAGCAGAAACGAAGGCCAGAAGGTGTCATGGTCAATCATCAACCTCGATCAGATTATTGACCGAAACATGAAGGTTTTGATGTGTTCAACAGAAGAAGTAATCTAGTCTTGCTTTGATGTGTTCAGATACAGGGTGTTTGGTGACCCGCCATCTCAAAGATCAGCAGAGGATCTTGCATACTCTGTCGCTCGGTTCTTCTCGAAGAATGGAACACTAGTAAACTACTACATGGTAATCATTGCATCGCTTCTTGATAGTAAGACTAGAAGAAGAAATCTTACCACAATGGCTTTGTATGTTCACTCACAGTATCATGGAGGAACAAACTTTGGAAGGTCAGGTTCCTCTTTCGCCATGACGCGGTATTATGACGAGGCTCCTCTCGATGAATTTGGTTAGAACTCTAAAAGCTTAAGCCTCAGCCGCAGTTTCCTACATTGATTTGAGCGTCTAATTTGTTCATACAGTAGCAGTAGTAGTAACTCTGCTTTGGGATGATTGCTGCTTATTAAGGTCTGCACAAGGAGCCCAAGTACGGACACCTCAGCGACCTGCACCATGCTTTGCGGCTGTGCAGTAAGGCTTTACTCTGGGGAGTCTCTTCTGTCCAAACATTCGACATAGATGGTTTCGAGGTATAAACTGATACAACTGTTAGCGTGAGCAGAGTTGGTAGTGCAGTGCTTGATCGGAGTCAAGAGTGATGTGTTCTTGGTTTTACATGCCAGGCGACGGTGTATGAGAATCCTGGTATGAAGGCTTGTGCTGCTTTCCTCTCCAATAGCAATCGGAAAATAGAAGGTACCGTCAACTTCAAAGGTACAGATTACTATCTGCCTCGACGCTCCATCAGCATCCTCCCGGACTGTAAGACCGTGGCCTTCAATACTCAGAAGGTAAGAGGACTTCTCTGCGAGGACAGAACTCGGTCACTTTTCAGATGCAGCGTAACCATGTCGATCTATTGAGCAGGTGATTTCACAGCACAATGCGAGGACGTTCCATGTAGCCAAGGAATCCAGCATGAACAACCAGTGGCAGATGCACAAGGACCACATTCCGAGATTTCGCGATACTCGGGTTAGATCAAGAAGTACCTTAGAGCTGTTCAACATGACCAAGGACACATCTGACTACCTGTGGTACACCACAAGGTGAGCAACTCATCATTTCCGAATGGCATTAGACATCATCAGGTTGGTGATTGTTCTTTCCACACCATCGCAGCTTCAGGTTAGAGGATGACGATTTACCCAGGAGGCATGACATCCGCCCTGTATTGCTGGTCTCAAACCTTGGCCATGCAATGCATGCTTTCGTCAATGGAAGGCACGCAGGTATGACTGCCTTGTTCCTCATATTCTCCGGTACATCAGACTCCCAATGCCTTTACGGTGCACACACTTGATGTATCTGAGTCTTCCAGGGTCTGGACATGGTACCAACATCGAGAAAAGCTTCGTCTTCCATCAACCAATCGCTCTAGGAGCAGGAATCAACCACGTAACCATATTGTGCATGACAATTGGATTACCGGTACAAAGACAGAATCCTACAAGTTTCATTTCCTTTTGAGTCAAAGCTAGCAATGCTGATGTTTAAGATTCCTTCGTGAAGAATAGCGGATCGTACTTGGAACACAGAATTGCCGGCGTTCATACCGTCGTCATCCAAGGTCTTAACACGGGAACCCTGGACTTGTCGCAAAATGGATGGGGTCATCAGGTCTCTTCCCTCATTTTGATTTCAGTTCTTGATTTAGATCCAAAAGAAACAACTTGGTAACTAAGCGGAGTTCTTCGCTGTTGCACAGGTTGGATTGGTAGGTGAGAAGCTGGGCATATTCAACGAGAAAGGAGTCAACAATGTTAACTGGACGCAGGCTCAGAATGACATGCCGATCACATGGTACAAGGTATGAACTAAGGGAGCCATGAATCGCTGCTCGAACATTTGCTGCTGCCTAAGGATCAGCGTTCCTCACTGTCCAATCTTGTCGCCAGAGATACTTCGATGCTCCTTCTGGAAATGACCCTGTTGCTTTGGATTTGACCTCGATGAGCAAAGGAATGGTATGGATCAATGGCGAGAGCATAGGTCGATACTGGGTGTCCTACCTCAATCCACTACAAAAGCCTTCTCAATCAGTGTAAGTCATCGTGATCCGAGTCTCCTTGAACTACAAGAAACGAGGTACTTCCTGCTGATTCACCCATCGATGTCAGGTATCACGTTCCTCGATCCTTGCTGAAGCCGAAGGACAACCTCATGGTCGTCTTCGAGGAGCACCGAGGGAAGCCAGAGGGCATCGTGATGATGACAGTGAAGAGGGACAACATCTGCACCTTCGTCTCAGAGCTCTTCCCGGGACAGGCGTCGTCGTCGCTGAGGGAGAGCAGCAAGCTCGGGACGGTGGAACACCCAGAGGCTCGTTTGAAGTGTACAGGGAAGAAGGTGATCCATTCCATTGCCTTCGCCAGCTTCGGCAACCCCGAAGGCTTGTGCGGCAACTACTCCCGGGGGTCTTGCCATGCTCCACAGACCAAAGCTGTGGTCGAGAAGGTGAAGTTCCATTACCATTCGACTCATTTAAGCTGAAGCACACCAACTCATCCTCTTTGTTCGACGCTGCCAGGCCTGCTTGGGAAAGAAGAGCTGCGCGTTGTCGATGTCGTACGAAGCCTATGGAGCAGACATCAACTGCGTAGGGACGACAGGCACACTCGCAGTCCATGCTATATGTGCACTCGGGAGCGCTTTGCAAGTAACTTCTGCAATCGGATAGAACACAAGGAGAAGAGATTGGAAGTGGTCGAATTGGATCTCGTCCTCAGCAATCTCATGTTAGGGAAGGTAGGTGGATGTAGTTGGTTCATTTCTGTCTGATCTTGAGGCTACAGTATGCCTCATCGTTCAGCACAGCACAAGCCAATCATGCGTTGAGCATCCAAAGGGATCTCCCATTAGTTTTTGATCGAATTGATCATGTTGTTCCTGGAGACTTTGCATCAGCAATATTATGTGAAGTAAATATCTCGATTTTAGATTATTGTATTTTTTTTAAGTAATATTAATCATATGAGGTAATTGTTGATGTATAATTTCGGATCCGATCCAAACAGCGTTAATGGTCGGATTCGGGTCTATGATTGTCAACCCACTGAGAACAGTTTGATCCGTTATGTTATCTACCGTTAGATGGGACGCAACGTTGGATATCAGCCCCAAAACCCTAAGCCCGACCGCCACAGTTTCCGTCCCCGTCCTCCGACCCCGTCTCTGCTTCGCCCAGTGGACACGATTGACCAGCCACAGCGGAGGTAAAGCCTTGTCTTGCGATCTCCGGCTTATCTCGCCCCCTTCTGCGGCTCTTTCTCTCTCATCTTGGTCTCGCCCTCTTTTGGGTGATGTGGTGATGTAACCTGTAGTGGTAAAGCTCGATTACCTTGAATTCGAATTCGGCATATGGCATTCGGTACATATTTCTAGGGCTTCTTTATTGGTCTGCGCGGTCCAATATGGATTGAATACTATATAAATAGGGTTTTTGTGTTCCAGGTTTTGGAAGGGTTTTTATGTTCACGGGTTTTTTCGGTCTTTTGTGCGGCATACATGTGTTGCTTTCCGCAGTGTATCTCAAGTGTCTTTGGTTAACCAATAGTCGAGATTTCTCAGGTTCTCTGTTTGGAAGCTTTATTCAACCACACTGACTGAATAGCAAGAATGGTTCTGAGGCTAGATTGGTAGTTAATTGAAGAAAATTTTAATAGATTTTTGATACATTGAGTTCGCACTAGAAATCACCATGAAAAGAGTGTGTTTTGTTTGTGACCATCAAATTGAGAAATTTGATCAATACTATGTTTCATTTAGTGGAAACCATCGCAAGTATACTAAACCCTAATCCGAATGAAAATTAAGGTTTGACAAATGATCTGATTAAAGCAGTTTCCGTGTCTTGCGGAGCCACTAAATGGTAGAAAGCTTGTTTTCTTCATGTCACACCAATCTAAGTCTACCAAATTTATCCTGTAATTTTTATGAAGTTCAATTCTGGAATGATACATATGCATTGCCTGCTTAAAATCGCTGGTGACTGAACCATGGTAGATTGAGAGTGAGGTTATATATAATGGGAAAAGTTAAATTAATTGAAACCTCAAACAATGTTGACATATGCTTCGTCTTCTTATCTGAAGACGAGAAGTTGTTCTTGTCGGTAGGGAAGTTAGCTGTAACAACAAATTGCAGCTGCTTATGAATGTGGTGGCTCCGATCCGATGGTAATATTTTGCTTTGGCATTGTTATCGCAGCCAAATTAAGTGATAGATTCAGCGAAAGCAAACTGTTCTCACTTCAAGGCTCTGATGTAGCCAAGTGAAGTACCTATGTCTCATTGTGATGAATAGAATGATACATTAAAGAATCAGAATATTGTAGCTTCCCGTGGTATTGTGGTCAAGTGAAAAGCGGGTTCTGCAGTGATGGTGATTGATTATAGTCAGCAACTGGAGCTTTGATTATGGCAATTTACTGTTAGTTCTGCAAAAGTTGCCAGCATTCATCAATTCTGCAACTTTGGTGTTTGATGAGGGGACGAATGGTGACAGGCAAAGAGGAGGGTTTGCATGATTGTTGTAATCAGGACTGTCTGTACTGGTGCTTAAGTGGACAACAAAGGTAGTGGGAATAGGATGCCAGTGAATGAAAAGGATGACAAGGCAGTGTTTTGATTATAGGATGAGGTTGCTTATGATGAGGAGTACAGTTGATTGCAGGATAAGATTTAAGCAGCTGCAGTGGTTAATTTGTTTAGGGGAAGGCTGCATTATCAGTACATGAATATGCAGGATCAGTTAGGCAGCAAGGGAACCAATGCAGTAATTAAATGTACATAGATGAGCATGACAGACGTGAAAGGGTTCATAAGAACTTGATTTCAGGATTCACGATGAAGGATCAATCTCATTCATACTGTACCTCACCCTGGCATAGAATTTTTAGATGATATATATACCATGATGCACAATATGTATGAGCTCAAATTTGTTTATGTACATGAGTATTGTAACTGTTAGATTCAGTGATTCACTGCATCATGACTAGTTCAGAAAGGTTTTTGAACACTAACTTTAGCCTGCATTGTTTTTTCTGCTTTGCTTTCAAGCAGATAGAGAAATTTTAATTACCCCAGTGTATCCATTGAAAAGGCCGGAGTAAGTGGAATATCAGGGTAAGATTTTCTCCTTTTTTTCCTTAAATTCTGTTTTTTAGGAGTTGAAAGATATGAAATATGGTAATCCTGATGGTCTGTGGAAGTGAGAGGTGAGAAACTAGGATTGTACAGCTCATTGTTTTGTGACTAAGAATATGGAAGAGTAATACGTGTCAACTTCACTGTATTTTTAAGATCGGTACTGTGGTATTCATTTCTTAGCATGCTTTTGGAAAAATTCATGTTGGAAGTTTTCGTTTGAAGAATTTTGAACATAAGTTTCTGTGCTCTTTGTAGTAAAAAGTTTTAGTTACCTGCACACCCATTTCTAAGCTGTTTGGTTTCTGATTGATTATTTAGTTTTCAGTTGCTGATGACTAACACAAATAAAAACTGAGGTATATCGTTAAAAATCTATTCTGCAAAAGTCAAATAAAACCAGTCTGAAGTGTCTAGAAATCACGGACAGGATGTGAACGGCACAAGAATAGTGTAGCTTTATCTAACTTTTAAGGGATTGTGAATCCCTTTCTGCTTAGTTCAATAGACTAGCTCTTTTCATCTGTCCTATCAACTTCTCAGATTATTTGTTGAAATGTGATGCCTAGGATGTCCCGCAATTAAGGAATTAATCATTGGATAAAATACCAGCAATCCTTATAAGATTTCATGCAAATTTTATGATCAACAACATAGCACACAACATGCAGTAAACCAAATAGCAGTTTTCTCTAGACACTATTTAGGATTGGTAATATGATAAAATGCCATGCACAGACCACCATTGCTCTTATAATAAGTACATACAAGAATTTTGAATACTTATATGCATGACAGTTTTGTTTCTTCAATGTAACATGCAGATCTGTCTATAATGGAAGGTCAACTTAATGATGCTGTGGATTCTAAACCCAGAGTAAAGGCAACACTTCATCTTGGCTCAGAGACGTCTTCTGTTTGTTCGAATGCTGGCATTCTCTCCCAACAGCTGGTTACAATGAAAGACCAGAGTATGGCTATTCTAAAAGACTACATCACCAAGCATAATGCACCGAATGATGTTCCTGATGAAGTCATTGAAGGCTCTTCTGATGAAAGTGAAGAAGACGTTGATAACCCACCCAAGAAATCCAAAAAGCAAAACTAAAAGCTTCCTTCCGATAAAAGGAACATGTGGGATGATGTAATTATCTGAATTATGCCTGTGGATTTTTTTGATTGGGACAAACTAGAACATTCTTGTTGTATGAGAAGTATTCAAACTCATTTCAAAGATAAAGCCAGATACAATTCCTTTTAAATTGAAGACGCAGGTTGGAACAAAGTGTTTCTCGTGGAAATTTCTTTAACATGTCTTTTTTTATTTCTGTAAAAGTTTAATGTTCTTGTATTTGGGATTAATTAGAGATTATCTTATATAATTGATTATCTTAAGCATCTCAATCTTTGTAAAAATAAAATATCTAATTATATTTCTCTTCACCTTATCGATTTTATAAAATTAACATGTGTTAAAATTTTGTAAGTATAATATTTTTATTAGTAAAATCGATAGTATGAAAAAAAATGAGATTAAATATTTTATTTTTATAAATATAAAATTTTGAAAAATATAAGGATCAAAATATTAAATAAGATTATTTATAATTAATCCTTATATTTGTGTAGGGTACGATTAGCTTTTGAAAATACTTTAAAAGTGCAGATATAACTAAGTTTCCTAAGATACTGTTAACATTCAAAATCACAAAACAATGTAAGAAATAATCAAATTAGGTATGTTTAAATCTTTATTTCTAATTTAAAATATATTTTTTTTACCTGTGGCATCTAAAATATTTTTCATAATCTATTAAATCTATACCTACCATTTTTTTCTAGTAACTCCATAAATTAGTTCCTGATTGGTGCCGCTGCTAGCAAAGTGATACAGAATCATCCATGTAAATTGCAAATTGTTCGTCAAAGAGAGTAGTCGTTGTTGGTCGTCATAGTTTCCAACTACATGAGACACAGAGCACTCCCTGCTTAATGATCAACAAAAGGTTCGAAATTACCCCAAAAACATCCATCACGACTGCTTATGACTCGAAGGATGAGAAGGACGTCTGGAGAGCGCGGAGTGTTCATCACTCAAAGGCCCACTGGTTCTCCCTCCGCACCTCTTCCTCTTCCTCGGGGGTGAAGTCGTTCTTGATGTTGAAGGTTTTACGGATCTCCTCCGGTGTCTTCCCCTTGATCATGTCAGCTACGGTTTGGCAAGTTAAATCCAGCAGCCCTTTAATATTCAGATAGTTTGCAGCCTGTATACACCACCAAATCATTAGGGCCAAAAACACAATGCACAATGTATATATAGCTGACACCAAATAGGGGTGAAGGAAAGAAGAGAGACAGCCTTGTTTAAGGGGCTTTTGGTCCCACTTCATCAGAAGCCTATAAGTACTAGGGTGTATGAGCTTTGTTGCAATCCCTCAACACATAATTTTTTACTCCCTTTTTTATTTCAAGAAATGAAACTTTTGCCTCTAGATTATCCCCATGAGGTCTTCTCCCTCAAACAAGAGCTCTCGTTGGGGATATTGTCGATTACAATGATCAGCCATCACTAATAATGGTCTGCAATTGATCGACAACCTACCAAGTGATTCATGATCAAACTGTAATTGATGATCACCTACCAACCGGCAGTCAACCATCCTAATGCAGTCCTACTGTGCAAACATTTCGAAACACAAAAAATTTAGAAAAAACAAACAAAAAAAGACAAAATCCAATTATATATTAACATAAGACACTAGAGTTGAGGAGTAACGAAGATTTTGACAAATAAAGGTGTTCATTATGATATTAAATCCTTGTTAAAAAACATTATTTTCAGTTGCTCTTCCGGTGATTACATTTTTAAAACACATTAATTCTTTTTTGTTTTTCCATGCTGGTGAAACCAAGGGATAAATTGGAAGAGTGACTGTAGAACCCATGTTAGCAGATCCATTTTCAATGGGTTTCCCTAGTCAAACTAAACCCCTGCAGATTGATACATATAAATATAGATTTGCATGTACCAAATTTATTAGAAAATCTCCCCCACTTAAATTCCTAACACGCTCCTTAGGTCAAACATTTATCATGCACAAACTTGGATAACCAAAACCTCACATAGGTGATGTGGAAGTTTGGAAGCTCTATGACCACCGCATCATGTTTTTGCTACACTAAAGATTCATCAAAATCTGTAATCAGTCCCAACATGGCCAACGCGCCAGATATAGTTGTTGCTCTGATACCATATTTGCCGCAACTGGAGCATGAAACCATATGGGCTATATTACCATAATTGATAATGCTATATAAAGCTTAGCCCACAGGCAGTGTGGGGCTAATAAGATTGGTGTATTACACATCCACAAGTTTGCAAATTCATGATCCATGCTAAGAATCTAATGGTAGTCAAATAACACTAAGCTCAAACATTTATTTACTAAAAGATGTTAATAATATAATTTAAACCACTAATTATAGAGGCAACCAAGAATTTTTAATGATCAAAGATCTTAACACTATTACCTTATGTTTCATTATGGTCCAACAATGACCAACGATTGCTGTCCAAGATTGTACTTTGCAACAGATGATTTTATTACCCAAAAGCTATCAATGAACAGTATCACTGTTCAGTATTTGATGCCACTATCAACCATCAAGTGATATGGTAAGTTAGACTAAGAGTCTATTAATGATTAGTAATTAGTGATGCTGTATTAAACCAATTGTTACCCACATCTGGGGTTCCAGCAACCATCAACATGTCTATAAGGGTAATGCTTTACAATCGTTACCCACATCTTGCACTACTACTATGGTAAGTTAGACTAAGAGTTTAAAATAACTCTCAGAAAAGCAACACTATTGGCTTAAAAGATACATGTATAAACAAACAAACCCTTAGGATAAATAATCTCAAACCCTCACAAGCATGTTGTTATACGAGCACTTACTTGACAAAAAAAAAGCCCATAGGTTAGATAATCTGAAGCCCTCACAAGCATGTTCCAATCTAAAACCTCACTCAAAATATATATACAAACTCCTTCCAAGACTGATTGCAGAGATTTTAGGATTATATGGCACTTCAGAAGCTTAACTCCAATGATTCGAGTAGCTTGTAGATGAAGATCAAACCAAAGAGACTGTTGTGTGTGTGTGTGTGCATGTACGCATGTGCATATGCAAGGGTATGCAGTGGGCACATGTGTGCGCACATGTTTGTGCATATGGTGTTTGTGTATGTGCATGTGTGAGTGCATGCATGTTCGTGTGCATGGGCGCATGTGTACGTGAGCGTGTGCATGTATGAGCAATTCTCTACACAACAAGCAAAAGCTAAACTAATAGATAGACAACTAGCTGGGTTTACAACTTGACCGAGAGAGAAAGACAAAGCAAAGATCCTGATATGAAAACAGTCAATAATTATAATATAGCAACATTAAGTTAAAAAAAAAAGTAACAGAAGCAAACTAGTGTTCTCAGGATTAATCATGCAGACAATCTAGGATGACTCTTTTCCAAATAGATTAAATATAAGAAAGAATTACAAAAGCAAAGAGACTGAAAAATAGATAAAGCATCAAACACCTATGCATTTAACAGAAAGTAGGATTCCAACAATGCATTTGTTACTCCTAAAGATTAAAGACCTATCTGAGACAGCTCTTCAGCCAGATAAAGAGTACAAAACAAAAAGATGTGGCACTGTTAACTTTCCCATGAACGAAATATTAACGATACTGAAATAGAAAGAATTACAAAAACAAAGAGACTGGAATATAGATAAAGTATCAAACACCTATGCATTTAACAGAAAGTAGGATTCCAACATTGCATTTGTTACTCCTAAAGATTAAAGACCTATCTGAGACAGCTATTCAGCCAGATAAAGAGTACAAAACAAAAAGATGTGGCATTGTCAAATTTCCCATGAACGAAATATTAACGATACTGAAATCGCAAGTAATGGAACACCAAGCGGCAGCAAAATCAGCCTTTTCGACACTAAATGCCAACGCAAACACAACAGATCATGATGATGTATTGTTTCCCAATTTCACAAGTGACCATCAACGTCAGATTAAATCTCATGGACTAGCCAGAAATAGATAACAATGAAAATTATCTCGACATTTTCGTCAAATTTCCCTACATTTGTTGATGAGCAATAAATACTATACGTCTAAAATATGAATATAGATCTAATAAGTAATCCATCTACATATACATTAATGAAAGCGTGTAAATTAGGAAACCAAAACGGACCTATCAGTTTAGAAGCGATCAAGGAATAGAAAAGGGGAAAAGCAATGACAGAAACGGAATCGGTCAGGGATCTCACCAGGATAAGGTCGAAGAGGGTAGCCTGATCGACCTTGACGAACTCGGCATCCCAGGACTTGAGCTCGTCGTCGGCGAGCTTGGAAGAGTCATCAGAGGATTTGGAGGCGGCAGCAGCAGAGGCGTCGACGTGCTTCCTGCAGTACTCGATGACCTTGGCGAGGATCTTGGAGGTCACGTTGGGAAGCGGGATGCCGTTCTCAGCGCAGTCGTCCTCGATCATGTGCTTGATCGTCTGCGACTCCATGGCCACCGCCTCATCGACCTCGAACACCTCGCCATCGGAGCTCTTGAGCGTGATCATCTTCGCCATGGCCGCCGCTTGACGATATGGAACCTGAAGCAACAAGGGATCGCGATGGAGAGAAGACGAAGCCCTAAATGTACAGATCGAGATCAGCGCTATCCGATCCGGCTTGGCCGACCAAAGTTGGAGAGCCTTTAAATTTATTGGTAGGGCAAAATTCCTCTTTTTTTCTTTTTTTCGTACTGTTTTATTTCTCTCGTGATATATATATATATACATATACATATATACATATATATATGTATGTATGTATATACATACATGTATATATACATATATACATATATATATACACACACATGTGAAACTTTCCATCAATGGCTCTGGACATGCTTAATTAACTCAATCTCAGATTAACACCAACATGCACTGCCATAAGAACATGAATTAAGCAAACTGGAAGCTCTTCGAGTTCCATCTCGAACTCCAAACAGCAAACCCATAGCCACGTCAACGGGGCGGCGCTTCCACCTTGGTTCGGCGAACGCCGGATGAGAAGGAATCCAGCCGAAGTTGTCTTCGAAAAGCCATGATGAACGCCTCGGCTCGTGCATTCAGCTCCTCGGCATCTCCTTCTTCTTGCGGTTCGAAGCCTCCTTTCTGCTTCTCCTCCTCCTCCCCCACCCCCACCGAAGTCGCATAGCTCGAGCTCTTGGATCCCCTACCACCGCTCTTTTTCTTCGTCTTTCTCCCTCGCCTTCTCCCCAGATTAGGCTGGATTGAGATTACCACGATGGACGCGATAATAAGGTTTAAGAGCAGCAAGAGAAATGGGGGTGGAGCCACTAGGAGAGCCAAAGGCCATTGGTGTAGCACACAAGGTAGAAGCTTCTTGAGTCCTGAAACGAAGAGCGCAGTTGCAGCTGCAGCCAAAGCGATCTCCACGATCTCTTCCTCCCTCTTCAGCCGCTTCTCTCCCTCCATCTTGATTTCCCTCGTCAAGCTGCGGTGCGGTCTTAATCCCCCCCCTCGGAGCTTCGTTGGTTCCCGGTCCATCTGCATGCCCTTATATAACATGACACCCAACGCAAAGCAGCTTTTCCTTCTTCTTTTCATGGACCGCAGTGAGCAGCACGCGACCGGAACCTTTTTGTCGCGCCTGCCGTGCCGACCACCACGCAGCGATCGTGATGGTGTCGGAGGTCTAATCCGGGCGGTGATCGGCTGAACTATTGTACAGTTTGGATTGTGCTGTACCGTATAATAGGTAGGAGAGCTAATCGAGCAAAAACGATCATTAGGTTCTCTTTTCTTGAACTCACATGCTTTGAAGCTGGAGTCTATTACGCTGCATGTAAACGCATCAGCTGCAAGTTACGGGACAGCAACCAGTCTTGTGAGCGAACTGGACATCATGACGTGCCATGTGCTCGGTCAACTGCTACTTCTTAATAGTGCATTGCTATTAATATTTTTATCATTATAATACACAATGAATGATGTTAATTAGAGCTTCAATTAGTATTGCAAGTATAATTACAGAATTATACTTGTAATATTTATGATTATATATACTACGAAATACGAAATCATTGACTTTAGGCAGGTATATACAGGTAATTACTCTCCCTCACGCCGTGTATGCCACGAACTGCAAACGTGTCAGTTAAAGATTACTTTTCCTATAAAAAAAGGCGTCTGCTTTTTCAGCGTGTGCTGTGGAGTTCAGTTCGCAGTCTGATAATGTTTTTGTTTTTGTTTTTGCAGTATGATAAGTGATAGTAAAGTAAATCTATCTAAACTTTTCTTGTGTGATGTGTGATGAGACTGCAAATTAATGGGTTAAGACTCAAATTAATTTATAAAAATATGATAGATGAAATTAGTCATTCAATCAAATCAAATTATGACATTTGGTATCAGAATTATTCAGATTAGGTTTCATACATGCATGCTAGATTTGCTTTGCTTTGCTTTGCTTGCATAATAAGAATGCTTCTAATTTGTCTGTATTAATATGAAAAAAAAAAAAATTATAATATTGATGTAATTAATGGATATATTTTATTTTTTCTAAAACTCATCATGATAAACTTTTTAGGGACTTTTTTAATTAAATTAAACTTTTTCTTCTCTTATATAATTTTTATTAGTTATTTTAATAAATAAATATTATCAATTTTGGTCTTCTTATTATAAATCCAAACTAATTTTAGAAAATATTTGATCTACATCTTATTCTATATTCTATCACTTTTTTTTGTTACTTCATATAATGACTTATAATTTTGATTTCTGTACTATGAGAATAATTTTAGATCTCTCTTATTCCTATTAATTGGTATCTAAATCTCAACTTTTTTATTAAATAAATCACTCAACTAAACTCTTCCAACCATCAATAATATTACTATCAACTCTCACACTATTGCACTGTCATCAATTTTTTTTTATGATGTTTCATTCGAAGATGATCATTTAACTGGTATTGGATCCATGTTTTATTGATAAGGGATAATTTGGTCAGTCGGTTATTGGTGCAGCCCATAGGCTCGTAAGGAATTATCCGTTTTGGGCGATAGCATATCCATACGATTTTATGAACATGTTAACTCCAATTTAAGGGTAAAATAAATTTGACGAACTTACGGACAGTTCTCATACTCTTCAACCAATATGGAACTAAATTATCTTATCTTTTAAACCAATGTGGAACTAAATAATCTTATTACTTCTCTTATCTTATCAACAGGATCAGATATAAATAGTTTTACAGTAACAACGGGGATCAGATATAAATAATCTCCTCTTATCTATATGTATCTCTTAAGTTTTTTTGTTCAATGAAAGTTGGACACTATATATATGATCTCCTCTTGTAAGATAAAGAGTCAAACCCAGTATATATCATTCCCTGCATAGTCTTTCATACTGCCACCGATTCCTACACATTTCTTTCTCTTCTATACTATGACCAGTTGTTTGCTGCCTTAAGTGCAGCTTAATAACGATTGGTTATCTTAAGTCCTTTTACTGGACCTATTCATTCCTCTGATCATTTGGCTTTGCTGAAGGTGATGTGCCATCAGTCTACATATAGGAAGAGATAGAAAGGATTTGAGTCAGAATACTATGTACAGCAGAATCCTTGAGAGATTTCCTTGTTTATTTGTTATATTCCAAACAAATTAAACGGATTTCTTAAAGAAAACAGTGAGTCAAAAAGTAGAATTGAATGTCTTTGTTGACCAAGTGTTGGATGACAAGGGAACAGCAACAAGACAGCTTCTTTGAGGTAGAATTCTCAGAGGAAGCAGCATAAGCAAAGGCAATATAAATGAGAAGAAGCCTGAGTGAACGAGGAAGGTAGAGGGTAGCTTGTCCACGAAAACCTGCACTGAGTAAAATAGCTCAGCCTTCGGAAGAAGGCTGAGAAAGCATCGACCCGTAGAACAATACCTAAAGCTGTCCCGACAGGGAGGGAGGTGGCATTTGTCGTGGAAAAAAAGGTCTCATCCTGCGCTTTCCTAAAATGGAGCTGTTAACGTCCTCTGGAGGGTGGAGCTCTTTGTAGCCACCGGGAGCTGATGCACCGTAGCTCTCTTCAGCTGCACAAACAAGCAACGAGCAGTAGCATTAGATCTAATCGATGGGGACAAACGAAGGAGTGCTTAGGTCGAAGGAGTACCTCCTCGCACTGTCTCTTCAGGAACCTGTTCTCGTACAGTAGATGATCGACCGCCTGCTCCAGCTCGATCGTGTAAGCCTGTCGCACGCAAGACTGTTAAAAGAGGTAGAAGTCGATCTGATGGAGAGGAGTCGGTACCTGTTTCCGGGCTCTCGATCGAGCTGCCGACTCCCTGTTCTTGATCATCCGTTTCTTCCTGCGGTCGACGTCAGTCCCGCTGCTGAAGCTCCCATTCCACCGCTGCTCCATCGCATGCTTCTTAGGGCACCAGTCGACGACGCTACCACTGCCGACCCCATCGATGCTGGAGTCAAGACAGCCGAAGCTGAGGCTGAGGGGAGCAGGAAGAATGCGATCACTGGTTTCCTTCAAGTTCCCACCGAAGGAGCAGGAAGCGGCTGCTGTGCTGGCGCCATAGAGCGAGGGAGAAGGCGTGGAGGGCACGTCTTCTTCTCGAAGAGAAGAGCTCAGGCTGATGTCCTGCCACACTTGTTCCATGCTGCTAGTTGGCCATAACAGCATGGACCAGAGAGATTTGAGGCTTGTGGTCTTAGAGGAAGTAAACCTGGGTCAAAGTGACGAGATCGCATCAATTTTTCTTGGCTTCGATCGAAAACAGATCGAGGAAAGATAGGAGGTACTCAGCAGCTGTCCAATCCATCATCTAAAATACGAGACTTCACGTGGTGCTGCGTCCTCGGCTCTCCTTTACCTCGCTTCCTTTATGCCTCTCGACACGGCGCCTGCCTGCCACAGCCAATGGGGCACTCGAGAGCTTAGCAAGGAAATAGACGGCAACCCGGCAATAAACAAAAAGTACAGTTAAAGGGAGTATTTGTTGTTAGTATAAAATAATAATTACGTTATTATACGAAATAAATTTAATATTAAAATTTAAAATCAATAGATGAGTGTACCTTTCTATTTCATTCAAAATATTTTTATCTGATCATATAACATAATATCTAGTAATTAAGAATATTTTTCTAATTAATATCAGATTAAACAAAACCACCATTTAATATTCTCATCCATTAATTAAATTATAATATATTTTATTTAATTAAATAAGATAATATAATCTAACACATGTACGATGTGACTGCTACACATCTTGATAGTGCTAGCTAGAATTATAAAGATCAGAGAGAGAAGATGGAATCGTACGCTGTTATCTGCTGTGGGTGCACATTCTACCACCCTCAAAGCTGCTCTGATCTTTGATGCATCGCGAGATATACATAATCTCAAAGGAGAAAGATATGATAGTATATGTATATATGACGTAAGCTTATATCATAAGAAAATGTCGGTTGCTGACGGATAGATCTAATTAATGTCCCAATAGGTACAAGTCGTATCAAATGACAGTCAACTCACAGAGGTTGGATTCATCTATTACAACGTAACGCTGAACATAGATAGCCATGTGAAGTCTTCGTCAACCAAAACATACTATATTAAGCAGTCCAATAAATCTCACCACAGATAACGTAAGCGAGGAAGAGACATCGAACGATATTGAAACAAGCACTTGAGGAGGAGAAGTCAATCTACTCCTAAATAGTTGATCACGAACCACAAACCTATCACCACAAGCCACCACGTCGTCCTTGCTACGGATGCGCCGGTATTACCGGGCAGCGGTGGCGGTGGAGATGTCGGGAAGGGAGACTCTCCGTCGCCACCTCCGCTGGGGCTCGGGCTTGCTCTCGCCACGGTGATCCCGAATCTCATCCCGCCCCTGCAGTGTCCCTTGACGTTGCACAGAAACCAGTACTTGGCGGCCCGCGTCAGGTTCACCACGTCGTTGCCGGAATCATAAGAGCTCACGACGCCGGAGCTCACGTCGCAGGATCGGAATGTATCTTCCACCACCCGATACACGTCGTGTTGTCCCCTGATATAGCTGAACACTGCACCCAGTAACATACGTTTACATGGAGCTGGAAGACGAGATCAGCTGGTGATCGAATGGTGATCTCTTACGTAGAGCATCGCCGACCGTGAAGTTGTACTTCTGCGCCCACCTCTGGTAATCTAACCCGTACGTCCATCCCTCGGCGTCGCCGACGGTGTAGGATGCAGCCCCGACGAGGTTTTCAAGCAACAGACCGGACATGAAGGCGAGGAAGAGGGTGTACCTTATGATGGAGTGCAGTTCCATGGCTGATGCGTCGTTCTGCGGGTGATCCAGCTTTGGCAATGGCTGCTCATCATCTACTGGTGTGGATGACTACTTATCTGCAGGCTCTACCAAGTCAACTGTTGGACTCATTCCCCCTATACGTAGTGAAGTTAATCCCTGGGCTAAAAATACTTGCATGATAATGACTTCTGCTAATGTATGTTTGACAGAAAAAAATTTCCTCCCAAGTGGGAAGAAGTTCTTCGTATCCTTCTTTATTTGATTAATTAATCTATGTTTCTAATCAATATATTAAAAATACTGTATTGGTGACCGTGTAAATTTGAGCATCAAAACAATCATTCAAATTTTACTTATCTCAAATACTTATTAGTTAAAAAACTCATTAATTAATTTTATCATCAAAATTCAGGATTCAATAAAAATCATGCATTAGTCAACGAGTGACTAAAAAAATAATCTTCAATCCTCACCTAAGAGAACGAGGCCTATGCACACGTTGTACGAGTCATCATATAATTTTGAGCAAGAAAATAATCATCAACAAACATAAAACATAATAATTTATAAAAAAATCATAATAATTCAGTTAATTTCCCAATATGGAATTGTAACCGTCAAGAGAAACACGTGCTCTCGAAAGGAAACAGAAGTGACAAAAGAGGGTTATGGTTTAATTTTCTAAAGATAAAAGGGTCTCTCTGCAAAATTCCTCCATTCGTTGGGCTCTTCTGGAAGCTGCTGCCACGTTTTTATTTTTAATGGAATAAAACAAAAAATATATCCAGAGCGGTCCGAACTCGTCGCCCATCCAAAAACGTTTTCCCCAACCCGCGATTCTTCTCTTCGTCCTAAAATCCATCCTAATCATGGCTTTCTCCCACTCTATGCTCTCCCTCTCCCAACCCAAGCCCTGCGCCGCCGCCGCCGCTGCTGCTGATGCCTGGCGGCCACCGGTGCCCACTCGTCGTCTCGCTTTTACCGTCTATTCTCCATCTCCGTACCCCTTTTCCCGGGCTGAGCCGGCCAGTGCGGTTGCCACCCTCAGAAGAAGCAAAGGCAAAGGTACTCTTCCTACTATTTTACTCAGATCATGGACACTAATCTGCGTGATATATGATGTTGCTGCTTATGTCGGGGTACCGAATCAAAGTGCTAGGACGCGGAGTTGGATTTCTTTGTAAGGGTTTTCTGATTCCGCGTCATAATTGCTACTGTAGAGCTTTCCCTAAATCCTGCTTGATCTTTTGATTTTGCTTGAAGAACATAATGTTGATGAAGAATGATGGAAATTGAGAATATTATCTTGGATTTTCATGAACAAAATGTTTATGCAGTGAAGAAGGGAAGAGACATTAAGACCATTATCTTGGTCTTTATTTTTTTTCTTGCCCTTCTTCACTGCATAAACATTATGTTTCCGAATAGTCCTTTCCTGCTAGTCGTAAGAATCTCGATTGCGTTTTAGGAAGCAACTTCAGCCAGCAGCATCCTTATTTCCAATTATTCAAAGAATATCAATTACATTGTCTCTTGAAATATGTGAGAATTCGTCTTGGACAAGACTGGGTTTTTTTTTCACGAAGATTAAGATGAGAGCATTTTTTTCATTTTGATGTCTTATATATTTTTTTGAAAAAAATGTAATACCATTGATCTATTTAACTCGAGACAAGTTTTTCAGTTAGATTGATGGAGGGTTGCTAAAGGGATATATGTGTATATTTTACAATTTTAGCAGGAAATATGTGCATATCGAAAATTTACAAGGATGACAAGACACAGTTAACTTTATAGGATCATATATGCAATTGTGCCACCATTAAATTGATCTCATGTAAATGTGATTTCAGAATATTAATCCATTTCCTGTTCTTTCTTGTTTCTCTTTGTTTCCTGATGTTTTGGCTTTTAATTTGTTATCTTAAAATAAGACACTCGAGTTATATTACTAGGTATGGGGCCTTTGTGGAAGATGAGTTAGTATCATCAATACAAAGACTTGGTCTTTTGGTGTTTTCTTGAAAAGATAAAAAATTATATATACCCCTAAAAAATTATGGCATCTGTATGAATCAAGGAACTTCTCTTTACTCTTCCTGTTTGATTATGCTTTGATTTTAGCTTGGGTTTACACTTGTATGAGCTTGTAGCCAGCTATATGGATACAGTTGAAATGTATGTGGCATTCTCTTCATAAAGTCTGTTACTCATTGGAACAAAATTTTTGCTTCTTTGAGATTGCCCAAACATAATGCATTAATGGGTCAAAAAAAGTTGATATAACTTATTGCAGTGATTCTAGTTCCAAAAGAAGTTTTTATGTGGATGCATATCTGGATGTGGATATATGTCTGCCTAATTTTAGGTTTATGTGGTCTCAATATGCTGTACATGTGCTTCCCACGTTTGGTCCACATAAAAAAATCAGTGCAGTAGGTTATATGGTTTATGTTTTTTCTATTATGATGATTATGCTAGTGCATAAATTATGATACAATACCAGTCACGGAGACTATTAATTTTTTTATTCCTTATAATTTTGAAAGCGTAAAGGAGGCTGTAGCATATATTTAGCTATGAATTACTTAAACTTGATAGTGTATTTTGTCGTTTGTATCTTCAAATGAACAGCCCATTTAAAAGCATGCCACATATGCACTGTGCATTACCTTAACTGCTGAGATTTTATTACTTCCTTTAAAACTTTGTTATTAATTGATTATTTATAGTTGAATCTTTTGCCGTAGCCTACAGTACTGCTTTTGCATAGCCCAAAATACTTGTGATGCTTTATTTATATTGTCCATAATTAAATTATTAATTGCACTTTTTCAGCAAGAGCACAAATGCATGAATCTGGAAGTGCTTTGGCAGCGGATGCTTTAACAAGTGTTAAGCATGTGCTTCTTCCAATCACTGATCGGAACCCTTACCTTTCAGAGGGAACAAGACAGGTTATTTTTATTTTCTGTTTTCCATGTGTCCAGTTAATGCTTGCATCTATGTCTTATTTTTCAAGGATAGCTATAAAAGGGCAACCTAAAAAAGCGCAGCCAAGTGCAAATGACTCCTATCAATGTGGGGCCTCGGTTGGGTTGATGAACACAGTCTCTCTTTTGCATTTTGAGAGATTAATTCTGTTATCGACCAGGTTACTAAGGAGCAAGCTTACCATGTTGGAAAGATTTTCTCTGATTTTTCTCAAAAATAGCTGTGAAGTTATTATGGAGAAGCCAATGCCCATCTTGTTTCCGAACAATTATCATGCTGCTGAATACTATAGATGATTTTGGTATCATAGATTTAGTTTCTAATGCAAATATTATAGCCAACAATTTCTTATTAATTAGCTTATGCTGCAAAAATGTGGCTAGATGTTTTCACTTATTCTTTTCAAGTAAAAGACCTCTAAATTGGTCCAGTGCATTTGATTTTCAAATGTTAATCAACAAATGCAATTTGTCTAAATCTTGGACTTTACAGGATTTAACTTCTTGTTGCCGTCAGGTTTCAAATGCATGCATCAATTAGACATGACCTTCGCAAAGAGCATGGTGCTTGGGTTATGTTTTTCTTTGTGCAAATATAATCTTTTGACTTCTTATTAGTTCATTTACAACAGAGTTAATTATTTTATTTGAATATCATGCCAAAAATAGTTTCTTTTGTGATTTAAGAGCATTTTGACATGAAAATATTGTTCTATCATATCCTTATGGCACAAAATGTGTTCAACAGAAAGCTGTCAATCTGGCAAGATTATGCCTTTGTACAAAGAACTTGAATAATTGCATAAAGGAATCCTATATTTAATGATTTTCAATTAACAATATGGTAAGATTGTGCATTTGTGCGAAGCAATCGAAGAATTGCATCAAGGAATTCTATATGACTGTCAATTGATCTATGGTGAACATATGTGACATTAGCAACAGCCATATGTGCTGTTACTGTACGATGTTGAGAATTCTGGTCAAGTTTAGTTGGTTGTGGATTATATTATGCTATTTTAATCCAGATGTTACACAAGCTTTTAAGTGCACTACTATGAAGTTTTTGCTCTCATATCTCTCTATTTTCCTTTGTTCTACTGTCATTCTAGCCTCTCCTACAAACTGAACTTGATCCTTTTTTTCCTCGAAGTAGGTTGGATACACTATTCCACTTTCTGGGACTAGTCACATCCGATCATTTAATGTAGAACTATCTTCCTTTTCAGAAGATTGACCCTTTCAGATATTTTTGTTCCTCTTTTACTCTGTTGATGAAATGAACGTGTCTATTTCATAGGCTGCAGCAACCACCACTGCCCTCGCAAAAAAATACGGAGCTGATATCACAGTTGTTGGTACGATGATCGAACCTGTATTGCAGTTACACAAAATAATTTTAAGTTTCTCTTGCCATATGAACCAATATATTGAAGGGCTGTGGAACTTGATTTTCCATTGCAGTTATCGATGACAAGCCAAAAGAGTCGATTCCCGAACATGATGCTCAACTATCTAGTATCCGATGGCACCTTTCAGAAGGTTGGTTTTGTTCTATTTTCCTCCCATTACATTGAATTATGATGTATGGTTGAGGTGCCTGCTTCTCATTTACTTATTTTGTGTTTAGGTGGATTCAAGGAGTTTGGCTTGATGGAACGATTGGGAGAGGGGAAGATGCCAACTGCTATCATAGGCGAGATAGCTGATGACTTGAACTTGGATCTGGTGGTCTTAAGCATGGAAGCAATTCACTCGAAGTATGTTGATGGAAATCTGTTGGCAGAGTTCATCCCATGCCCGGTCTTACTTTTACCTCTCTAACTGTTTTAACTTGCCGCTTGGGCATGGTATAAATTCTTCTTCCCAACGGAGCTGTTCCAATGATTAGCTAAATCTGGCCCTTCTTCTTCTTCTTCTTCTTCCAATTGCCATCATCTTTAATATCTTCGATATACATTTCTAGTATTTCTGATCTTTGGGCCAGTCTTCAATAGCATCTTCTACTCAACTTGTTAGAAGTTGATTATTTGCTGCTTGTCTACTGGTGAATATCTCTGCTATTCACGAGTTTCAAGAAAACAAAATCATACTCTTTTCGAATTTGTTTGGTGCCTAATAGTTGGGAATATGATCAGGACAGTCTGCAAGATTGAGACCAAGATCTCTGTAGAGGTCACCGAAAACTTGGAATTTGGATAATGTTTCTTCTTATAAAAGATTGCACTCAGAATTTGTGTCTATAAAATTCCTCTGATGGTGAGAGTGCAAAATTTATAAGTATTTGAGTGAAAAATAGAGAAAATATATTCTTTAAATATTTTTTTTTGAAGCAACACATTCAATAGATTTTTTTTTTGTCATCGTCGAAGCTTATGTATCATAGCTCAAAGGCCTCTAATGTATTATCTGTCTCATGTTGACTATAACTGGACTCGTAAAACCCTATCGACGGTGTAGAAGACTCTCTTTGAAGCGCTCTCACAAGGTCAATAAATAGTGGATTCATTCACTTGGAATGCCTGAACTGTAACATCCCATTAGTCTCACATCGGAAGTGGACAATGTGTATGATTAACTTATATAGACATGATGAGTGTATTACGTTAACACTCGCTTAAACATTTTCGTTCGTGGTTGAAGGATCAAAATGGAGTTATTGGCAGTTGGCTCATCAGACTCGGGTCATGACATAAACACATAACAGGATTCTATTATGAAATTAGTGAACATTAATGAGACAAAACAAAACAAAAAAGGATAAATTCAGCTGAATTATATTTACTCTCTCATCCTTCACTTGGCTCTTTCGGCAATATTTTTAGGGTCTGAAACATGAATGAGGTTCCTGCAGGGTCTATAGAGAGAGCTTGTCATAGTATTAAGGTCCATTAGGGTCTGTCCCTGCAGAGGTCTTAACTAAACTGTAAATTATGATAAGATGATTTAAAACTCGGGATGAAAATTTCAATCAAATATAACTGCCTCATTAAGATCCATGTTAATCATACAAACATATGGAGAATAAAAAAATATATAAAAGGAAATAATTACAAGAAATGGTAAAACTTCCTCACTGAGTTTATTTGCAATGCCTAATCTGACGATAAATGCAAATGTATAGACTATGTTGTATATGTTCGTATGAAGCTGTGAGCAACCCAAGGAATTACGATCAAAGAATTGTGGATGAGAGAAGCAGCAATGAGAAGAGACTTCTTGTGAGTTTCTTTTGTGTCGAGCTGTTGGAAGGAGGCTTCGGCATGGTGACTTGAGTAGCGTTCGCCCGAGTAGAGTTCATGCCGCCTTTGGTTGTCTTGGTAGTGTCACTGCCTGGTGCAACAAAAGAATGTTGATATGGTGACAGGGTGAAGGTACACATAATCTTGTTCTCAATACTCCAGCCTGAAAATTATACTCAGATTTGTACCAAACTAATGTCTATTTTTTTGGAAAGATTTCTACTTACAATCAAAGTTCTTCCAACCCAAAGTCAGCCTTTCTCTGTCGAAGACGATACGGAGGCCTGCCATGAAATTTTCTGCACAAGATATGTTTGAGAAACCATAGTTTACTTTCTTATAACTCATGCAGTAGCCACAAAGAAGCAGATACCTCTTAATCATCATTCTAGTCTTTCTGGTCGCAAGATAGTTTAAGCCATGAAGCAAAAGATCAAAGTCTAATTTGATCTGTGCAAAATGTGGTACACCTTCTACTCTTGTAGAGCACAAGATTTGTGCCTCTCATAGATTCTGTGCTAAGAAACCAAGAGAGCTCTACAGCACTAATTTCTAGTTTAGATGCTTGTAGGCTAAACTAATTGAATTCCGCATTGATTTGAAAAGGAGCTCTGATTAATCTAAAAGACAACAGTTTCAAACAGAGATATCCATTTGTTGTTAAAGTCGATAATATATTAAGCTAATGACTGGATCACAACCATGCTTCTACAATTAAAGGCAGCCATCAGATATTGAACTCATGAATGAACTTCTTAAATAACCGGTTCATAATAAAACAAATAAGAATTTTTCTTCGATCAAGATAAATCCTGGTCGTATATGATTTCAGAGATGTGTACGAAGAACTTACGCCCAATTATGTTCAGTCCATTGCTCTTCATAATGGCCAAACAATAGAAGTATTCATTTTGCTGCACATCACAAAGATCAGAAGAACTTATAAAATATCCATGAATCTGGATGAAATATGATATGTTTATACTTTACCTGTAAACTAAACAAAAATATTGGATCATTTACAGGAAAAATGCTTCCGCCTCTTGTTGTTAAATTTATTTCAGGTAGTGAGATTGTAGTTTGAGTAGGACTGCAGTAGGAATTGGAAAATAAAATTAAGGTGTCATCTAAAATAAACATGTAAAACATCTCTACGTCTCGGATCATTTTAATTACCTGACATCAAAACAAAATTCGAAAGGGACATCTGGATCAGGATTGAGCCGTTGCTCTTGAACTTGTGCTTTGAACTGTAACAAGGAAAGGTATTTATGAGTTGCTACAAATCAGCAAAGAATGGGGCATGCTTCCAGATCATCAGTGAGAATTTATCTTACACTCTGAGTTAGCTTGGTATACAGGGGATCAGCCAAATATGTGAATGAGGTACCCGAGTCGACAAGAGCACTAAGGATAGCAGCTATAGAATCATTTCCTACTGTGGCTCCAGTTATGTTGATCATATAAGAAGCACTGGGGAAAAAGAAAAACACAAAAGAAAAGTAAGAGTTACTCTTGTAAATAAGAATGCAAACCACACATATCTAACAAAGGCACTTACAAACTCTTGTCTATAACAAATGGAGTTTCTTGTTGGTCTAAGCTACCTTTGTCTCCGAAATGTATCCTCCCGGTGCCATCATCTCCGAAGCACATGGAGAAAGAGTTTGAAGCAAGCCCTTGACTGGATAAGATGCTAGGGACAGATATCTTCTCCATTCCTAGCCCAAACAGACCATTTGGAGCTGCACGTTCTAGAAAAGAACCAGTTTGAATTTCTCCACATCTACATGAGCCAACCAAAGAATAATTAGGATTGGAGGGAAGAGACAGGAATATGGATTTCTGGTGAACTGAAATGATTTAAAACGAAGACAACAGTACCCGAAAACAATCGGTGCTTTAATGATTTGAGGTGCAGCATCCTCGGTCATCAAGTACAAAATATCCTCAACCAAAATTCCAGAAGATGAGGTATTAGCAGATACATACTGAACAACATAAGGGCAATTGCTGGCTTCTGCAGTGCATGAAGTCCGGTTTTGGAGGTCACATAAGCCATTGCTGCATAAAACCTTCTTGCTCGTTGATGATGCATTAGGACTGTAGATGTTAAAAGATACATTCTGCTGCAATAAAGTGTTTGAAAAATAAGATGCACAGAACGAGAGGAACAAGTAGGTTTGGAGATGTAAACTTTATATGGAACTGGGGTTATTTATCAGTACAAACAAAGGAGTACAGAATATATCAACCAGAAATACATGGCTGTAGTCAATGATAAAATGCGAATACAAATGCACCTGGAAATTTACTAGTCCGCAATGATATTTTCCTATAGAGCAACTCATTCTCAGGATGTTCCCTTGGGGAAAAGGTAAAACTTCCTTGAAAGGTATTTGCTACTTGCATTTTCATAGTCAAACCTATTACAGCTTACAACTCTTTGCTTGCCCAGAATGACCAAAAAAAATTTCATTAATGAGATAATATCGGTAGTAATAAAACAATGATGTGTCTAAAACTTACTCCAACCATAAAAATCATAAGGAAGAATAATAGCCAACATAGAAAGAAAAAAAAATCTGAAAGCAAGCAACAGTGCTTTAAATGCATTTTCTGATATGCATTTTTGCAAATTAACAGGATACTACTCCACACAGAACACTAATGTCCTTGACATATTAGGAATTACATCTATATGTTATCATGCATTGTAATAATGAGGCAGAACTATGTCTAAGATTATCCAGAAACAAATGGTTACACCAGGCCAAATTCGTAAAACCTTTGTGACCATGGTCTAACCTGAAGGGATTGTAGTGTCTCATCTTTCATTGTGACCATGGACTAACTTGAAGGGATTGTAGTCAAGAATAACAAGGAAGATTAAATCACATGCAAGTGATTAGAACATATTGTTTAGCTTAAGACTTCAAATCTATATACTGAAAAGTGTAGGTCTCTAATCCAGAACTCACAGTAACTGTTCCACTTTTCTCACCTCTACCATAGTTAGGGTTCTAAATTGCAATTAATTTTGAGTATGGACTTGCTGGTATTACAAGACTGATGTAGCAACAACAACGAAATTTTTGATCCAATTGTTTTGTAAAAGATGATTGCAAACCAACTACACCTCGTCCAATCTTATGATAAGAAAGAAGAAATCATATCTTAAGTTAAAAACTCTACCTAAGAGGATGTTCATCAGAAAAGAAGCTACTCACAAAGAAGATCCATAGACAAGATAAAAAAAGAGCTACCAAAGAGAATTTGGAACATGAAAAAAAAGATAGCAGAAATCAGAAGGCTTACACCAAAATCAGGGGAGGTGGTAGGCGCGCATTGTTTGCAATCACAGGGCACCCAGAACAGATCACTCCCAGTATCCAACGCCACCAGAAACGTCATGTTGGGCGTCCCCAAAGAAACGATCGCGTAATGCAAGCTGATCATCAAGACAAAATCCCCAAACCCAGGGGGGCAATCAGATCAAAGCACACAACGAGACGTTTAAAAGATCCAACCTTCGAACACCCAGTACCAATTCTTCAAATCAAGCAGAGCGAAACAAGAGAGGGACGACGTACAATCCCAAGGAGCTGAGTCGGACGGTCGCGTTGCCGTCGGCGAAGGAGAGGTCGGAGGAGGCGGCGGCGAGGGCGCGGCCGCGAAGGGCGCGGTCGTGGTGGGCGAGGGCCGCGTAGTACTCGGCGGTGCCCTTCTCCGGCCACCACGCGCCGGGCACGGCACGCCCCTCCGCCCACCGCCGCACGCGGTCGGAGAACCGGTGGTGTAACTGGAACCCGATTGCGGAGGCCGGCGCGGGGATCAGCGCGGCGGCCAGGAGGAGGAGGAGGAGTCCAAGGGCGGGGGAGGCCATGGGAATCGAGGAAGAAGGGATCAAACGGGGTACGAATGAATCATGGGAGTTGGGATATTTCGATTCGATGCGACTTCTTGTCACACAAGAAGAGAGAATTGGAGCCAGACGAGTCGTTTTAGGTGGTGGTTATTGCGGTAGGCGTCTGCGGGAGGGAGGAAGGAAGGTGCCGCTCGACCACTGTATGGTTTATACGTGTGTTGGTTTGGGTTCAGTATAGGAAAGCATGCCGTTTTGGTGTTGCGTCTTGTCGTTTCTCGCGGGAGTGACACTTGTCATCTTTTCTTGCCAATAAGGAGAATTCCGTATTCCGGGGAATATATATATATATATATTATTTTTTCGAAAAAATATTTTTTTTATTTTTATTTTATATTTTTTATCTTATAACTTAGGATATCCTTAATTTGATACTCAACTACTTATGTCTTTTTCTTTTTTTTTTTCCTTAATGGATTGACTTCGATCCAATTATAATGTTTTTATGTTATATTATATTTTTTTTAGTAATAACAGTATTAAAATATTATGTTATATTTTTTTAAAATATATCATTATGTTACAATATTTTTTTATATTATTAAAAATATTATAATGAGATTGGTTCACTCACTGATCTATAGAAAAAATATATAATTAAATTATCATATAAAAGTTGATAAATCATAATTATTGAACCTGATATATCAATAAAAATTTTATTTTATACGGTCGATGATGTGACGTTGATAAAGATGCTAACTTTACAACAATAAATGACTTAGTTGGTTAAGACAACAATTGATAATCCCGACTAAGGTACGTTATTACCCCATAACCATAGCCCCCCGATGATTTAATATATGATCTTATAGCTTAATAATGGATAAGAAATTAACATAATTATTTTTGACATTAGTGAACTCGATAGCCACGTGTCATAAAAGCCTTCAAGTATATCCTCGAAAGGGAAAACTCTACTATTCAATCATTATATATTTGAATCCTCAAATCTATTATTAATTTATGCATCAAAATAGCTTTTGTGAGACATACCCTCTGTATAACTTTACAAGGTTATTTATTGAATCCTTATCTTCCCAACACCCAAACTGTGATTAGTCCGGAAGTTAATTTTATCATATTTGAACCCTCTACATTATCAAACATCTTGAATATGTATAACATTAGTCATGCAAAGGAAATTAAGAAAAATAAAAAAAAAGAAATATAGGTAGACAAAATAAGATTCATAGCATAATTCCCCTACAATACATACATGATCCCATCAGTCATATAAACCTATGGAATACTTAAAATACTCATACTTTTGGCATAATAATGAGTTTGCATAAAATCAATGTAAAGTAGAGTTTCATCTAACAGTTAGCTCAATGAAGATTAAGTACAACAGTAAACACAATTTATTAGGTTTTGAAGAGAGATATATATACTAAACATAAATATAGAAGAATAGATATGAAAACTACTGGCTTCAAAGGGATGGATATATATGCTGTGGCTTCCTCGTAATAAAAGAATTTGCATAGTAATACAGGAAGCTCCCAAGGCATTGGAGCTCAAAAATGATCCCAATATCCTTAGAAAATGCAATATGTTCATGTTTATTTCTCTTTGGTAAGACCATGAGATTTTTACGTACCATAAAAGCAAGTAGTTCAAAGAGTGATAAACAATATAGGAACTTGATCCAGCCACACTCTCTTTATGCAAGCATTCACATTCCTTGTGGACATTCTACATTTAATCTTTCTCCTAATTAATCAATCTTTGTTTGTTGGTTCATCCACAGACCCTCCCCACTTCTTTATTCGAGATTCTGCTTCCATTGCCTGCCACGGTCAGAAGTCAAGATTATTCAGATACAGAGATGGATACATGAATAGAGAGAGAGAGAGAGAGAGAGATGACCTCCTTGTCCCAGTTTGTGCCTACAGTAACCCCAATAAGTACCAAGGTCTGTAATCCTACGCCTGTTAGCATGCCACTCCACATACCCTGAGCTCAACGAGGAGATGATGGAGTAGCCATGACAAAGTAAGGTAGAAGGGAGGAGGAGGAAGAAGAAACAAGAGTAGAGAAGATAAAGCAGTACAACAACTGCAAGGTTACCTTCACTCCTAGATCAAAATAATACGCCAACAGGCAGCCTACTGGAATGCCCACCAGATAATAACATCCCAAATTGATATAAGCCACCAATGTCTGCCATCCAGCTCCTACTGCCACACCTGAACACGGAGTCCACGAGTTGAAGTAGTGTTGATAGAAGTGAAGACACAATGGGGGAATGGCTTCCGATGCTAAACCTGTTAGAACTGGTTGGACGCTGCTGAGGAGGAGTGTGAATGAGAAGACCACCGCGAGGTCAGTGACTGCAGCAACTACGTCAGGGCTGTTGGTGAAGGGAACCCCGTAAACGTCCTGGAGAACCAAGACCAGGGAAAAGAAGACGAGGCCGAACACGAGGGAGGACATGATGACCACCAGGATCGAGAACTTAGCCGCTCTCGGCCTGCCTGCTCCAAGCTCGTTCGATATCCTCACGCTGACAGATCCATCATCATCGGCTTTCAACACAACCAAGAAGAATGTATAAAGGAAGGAAGGCTAGTCCGGGATCACCTGATGGCGGCATTGAAGCCGAAGAACACCATCATCTCCCACCCGTACAAGTTTATGCTGCAACAGGAATGTCGACAGGTAAATTATGGGATTTCTCGATAGAGAGATGGAAGCTTATCGACCGTCAGGGACAAACCATATTGATATAGCAGCCACTGCTACCTGAGCATTCCTCAGGTTGCCTGCCAACACGATGAGGAACATGTAGAACCAGAACTCCAGGCTACATGGATGGCAGCAAACACATCAGAACATCAAATATGGAAGAAGAGATCTAAAAACAAACAGCAAGTAAAAAAGAAATAAAATTATTATATAAAAATTTAACGTCAGGATTAGAATCAAGAATCGTAAATCTAAAACAAATGTTTTAGGAAGGTAAAAGTCCACATTATCTCCTAAGGAATCCATCCACTTTTTTTCTATCTATTAGTCGATAATTGTAACTAAAATCCAATCATATCTATAATATATATTAATTAATTAAATATAATCATATAATCTAAGATTTAAAATTAATTTTATTCAATTGGATTCTAAAATTTTGAAAAGTACTCATATACGCAAATTTAAAATGAAGTCAATAAGTCTAGCTTAAACATAAATTATACAATGAAATTTTTACTATCGTGATAATTTATAAAATTTAAAATTTCATCATTTCGATTTGGTTTCTAATATATGAGTATATAATCTTTCATTTCAAACCGATTTAGTTTCTGATATATGAGCATATAATCTTTCATCCCATGTTATCTTTTTTGTAATAATTTTTTAATATTTCATTCTTAGGTAACTTTAATATTAACTAGTATTCTAATTATAAGACTAATATCTTATTTGATATATATTTGAACATATAATAAACTTTTAATTACATATGCATAAGAATTATGGAGGACTTGTATCATTCATGTGGAATGATGTTATTATCTATATGTATACAATCCTAAACGAAAAAATATCTAAAATAATATTATATTACCCTATCACATATTCAAAGTAAATTCTTCTTTGGGATTATATTTTATAATTATGTGTGTCACTATAAATATTATTTTTTAATACCATTTACGACTAATTCCTTGATGTAATATTATAAATTTATTAGTCCAAACCTTTTTGGCAACTATAAAACCAATATAATAATATAAAATATAATTTAAAATATTTTATAAATGGTAAAATAGTTATTATAATTTGCATCCCATAACCTACCATCTCATGCCACTTTAATAGTTACTAGTTAGATAAAACTTAGGGATATAAGTTACAAATAATAGTCACTAAATTTTTTTAATTAAGTTTATGTAGAAATAGTTCAATAATAATAAAACAATGATCATAATAATTATTGAATTTTAATTAATATAAAAAAAAACTTATATGATAACTATAATCATGATAAACATAAATCATACCTTTATATATAAAAAAATTATTATTTCATAATGTGAAACATATGTATGTGAATAACTACACAAATTTAAGAATCACAAGTAATAAAATTTTACCAATATGTCATATGAGAAAGCCATAATAGAAATTCATAATTTATAGTTTTTATAATTCAGAATTGAACCTTAAATTATTTCAATCAATCTTATTTAAATGAGTAAGCCCATTGGGCTATCCAAAAATGAGCCGATAGATTTTGACTAAACATCAACCTAATTAGGTCAGTCAAAATAGAGTTAACCAAAGTAAAACATTAGCCAAAATTTAACTTTCTTCAAATTTGGTCAAACAAGATTGACGGAATCTAAATCTAATCAACTAAATAAAATATATTTAGAATCAAATCTAGTCAAAAAAAAATTTGAGGATTGACCAAAATCGAGGCTCAATCAAAAATTAAAATTTAACCAAATTAAGATAGTCAATACTTTAATTAGCTCAATAACCAAGTGCAGGTCAAAATTAGGAATTATCAAAGTCAAACTTGGTTTAAATTATATCAGTCAAAATTTGATTAAAATAAACTATTGATCAAGTCAAAATTAAATAGTTGTCAAAAGGACATAATTGAAAGAATAAAGTAAAGGAGCAACCCTAAAACAAACTCAAAATTAAGGATTTTGTTCAAAATTGGAGCTAAATAACATATTTCTTCTTGCCGTCAGCTTCTTATCGTAGCTTCCTCCACCACCATTGTAGGACTGTCTCTATGACTGATTATTGTCTAGCATTGCCTGTACCTATCTTATCGATTTTAATCTACATTGTTACCGATGCTAAGTGATGCAACCCAGTAAGCCCCCTTTTCCGCACCCTCACTACGACTTATCCTTCATGAGGGCTACCATCCATCACACATATAGCGATCTATGATAGCTTCCTCTATCACGTAGTTTGTGCTTGTACTGTCAATGCTTAGTTGTCATCAACGTCACCATCGTTCGTTGTTGTACAACTGTTGTTGTGCTGCGAAGCTGTCAAACCACTTTGCTAAGCATCGTCGACCATTATTGCATAGCTAAGCAACCGTCACCCCTTACCATGTCATCGATTACAATCGCTTTCATCATGTGCCATTTCCTAGTTGCAACACTATTCGTTGCACCAAGTAGCAACACCGATATCTAGCATTGGTGCTATCATCCACCACTCGTAGTAGTGTTGTTGCATGCAACAGTGTCGCTTGCACAATGCAATGGAACCACCACTATATTGCTCAACCTTATGTGATTGCCAACCTAGACTAGTATCCTTGCAGTTATCCTATAGTGTTAATGTTTGACGCTCGCACTGCTATCCATAGCAGTGTTTCTAGCAACGACCTACTAATTCAGTTCTACATATCCTTTCGTTCGACATCTTTATCCTTCCGTTGTTCATAGATCCTTCATGACAACCTAGGGATTAAACAATATATACAGATCCAATAGTAGCGACTTAGCATATTTGGATCATAAGATGTAAGCATCATAGAATCAAAATAAAAATAATAATTTGATATAATCAAATTAAATCTAATGCATAAGTAAATCAAAATAGATCTAGTTTCTTTAATGATATATGACAACTTAGATTTCAATAACATGACTCTGATATCAATTATCAATTATATGAAATAAAATTATTATGCAAAAATTTATATCATAGATCTAAGATAGAATATACATATCTTTTGAACACAATAATCAACCAGATAGCTCGAATGACACGAAGCAATATAATAATGATCTTCATGCTAGATTCTTCTTTTCGTCTTTTTTTATTTTTAGAACTACTATAATTAATGAAATAGGGATTTATCGGAAGGTTTCTAGAAAAGATAATTAAAAAAATTTCTCTTAACAAATCATAAGAGTGGACTTCATTTTTATTCACTAACAATTATAACTAAAATCTAATCATATCTATAATATATTTTATCTAATTAAATAAGATCATACTCATACCACATCATAATTGCAGAAGCAATAGAGAGCCTCGCAAAGGCACCCAAGTCCCTAAAAGCTCCCCAGCTGAAGCCATTCCAAGCACCGGGGCAGTATCCCCAAGCTACGTATATGAACTGCCCGACAACGACGACCCACCAAGCTGCATTAAGCGAAGTTGCAGCACCCACAAGACCAAGCTTGAATTGGACTATGAGAAGCCAGCTGAGGAACAAGTGGAACAGCAACGCCACTGCTGAAACGACCGCCATGGTCATCACCTTGCTCTGCGCTTGGAGGAACTTCTGGATGGGGAAGTTGAGTCCATAGGCAAATAACTGAGGGATCATGTAGAGGGAGAATCTCCCTGCAAGCACTGCGATCTCTGCATCCTGGTGGAATAAAAGGAGGATGTGGGTGGCAAAGAGGTAGATGGGCAGTAGGCAGATGCACATCGCCGTGAGGATGACCCATGACCGCTGCATGTAGATCCCCAACATGTGGAGCTGCTTTGCACCAAACGCCTGGCCGCACAGTGTCTCCAGGGCACTTCCCATGCCCAGCTATGAGTGAAATCATGTAGAAGATAAAAAGAAGACGATGAAGATAAAAAAGGTTGATATTGTGCAATGCAAGTTAGTGATGATATTGTAGGCAAATGCTTTTCATTTTTCAGAATTTTTCTCGCAAATGATTTATTATATTCAACAAAATATTATAATGCAGTATAAAAATACTGATATTTTTATAAAATTATATAAAAACACTGTATTATAGTATTTTTTTAAATATTATTAAAAATATGATAGCATAGTATAAAAAATACAATAAATAAGATAATTTTATAAAAATTGCACAAAAATATTATGTTATAATGTATTCGTATTGCGTTATAGTATTTTTTTTTTGTATTGTTAAAAATACTATAACACAATGTAAAAAACATATAACTAGGCCAGTTTACCTCATAGATCAATCCATAAGAAAAGAGAGGAAAAAGAAAAAAAATTCTAAATATTAGACAAAAAAAACTGTTAAGAAATTGTGAAAATAAAAAGTACTTCCGTGGAAAAAAAAATCTAAAAAAGGTATTTTTCTGGAATTTGCCGAACAAAGTTTCAAATATATACAGCATAAACACTATTACAAGAAAAATCCCTCATTTGTGATCATAGATATCAATAGAAAAGTAAAACAGGACACCCGTGAGACAAATGCCGACAGCAAAGCAACTCGTATTTCTCGAATAAAAGCCCACAATGACTGCGATCCAATAATTGCAATCCTCGCACCTTCAGATAGGGCAGAGAAGTCATCAACCTACTCATGCCATAAGTTCATGGAATGAATTGAGGCATGTTAAGGATATTTTTGGAGGTGGTATGAGAGTCATTAGTTCAAAACCTTATCCAACAATTCTCTACGCCTAATTCATTGCTTTGATGGCGATATGTCATAATCATCTAACAAAAATCATTTAGAGTTTGAAACCCTCATTGATCTTTAATCGCTTATTATCTACACCCAGAAAAGTCTTCAGGCCAATGCAAATCAGTACCAGAAGAGAGAGAGAGAGAGAGAGAGAGAGAGAGAGAGAGAGATCTGAACTTATTCATCTACCCATAAGTCTTCAACTGCTCCCGCCAATAATTGATATCATCATTTTAGAAGTGCAGCTCTCGATCATTTAAAGGTCGATAAGTGAACTAACAACTACAAGTCTACAAGAATGAACTCAACATATTATTAGAGTTATGGTAGTTGTAATTTCCCCCAAGGAAATGTTTCTTCTTTTGGTTGTGGCAATAAGGAACCCTAACATCTGTTGTGTATATCTAATTATGCAGTTCTGTCTACCAATAACACGATGAAAATTACTTTTATGATTTGAATCGATGAGATCTCAACGCGAACTACAGCGGGAGGAGAAGGAAAACGATCTGGTAAGACGTAAGACTGGAGAACTTGCTTGTTCTCATCATCAAGAAGTGGAATTGGTTGACGTACCATGATGCCGAAGGCGAGGCCGGCGATGACCATGTTCTCGGTGGAGACGGCGTCGAGCTCGAGGGTGGTGAGGTGGCCGGCGAAGATCTGGGTGACGGCGCCCAGGGAGTACTGGGCGAGGGACGTGAAGATGGCCGGCCCCGCCAAGTACCACAGCTTCTTCTTCTCCTCCCACACATGCTCCATGAACTGCCTCACGCTCTTGATCTCCTCTAAGTCCCGCTCTCTCTTTCTCCCCAGCAAAGCATCCTCCAGTGGTTCCCTCTCCATCTCTCTCTCTCTCTCTCTCTCTAGGAAGAGAAACTGCGGGATATTAAAATGTCGAGAAGAAAATATATTCCTGAGAAAAGTTTCAGTTTTTTGCCCTTTTTTTTTCCCGCAAAAAGCAATTTGTTTCCTTTCTCTTTCACAGAGCTCTTATTTTTTTAAATCACAGTTTTTTTTGGGGACAGAGCTCCATACTAATGAATTAAATTAATAATATACTTAACAAATTTAGAATTATTTATAAAATTATTTTCTAAAAATGTAAATGCTCTGGGAAAATATTTAAAATTAATTAATTAAAATTTTGGAGCAAGTTTAAATTTATTTTAATCAGTTTGAAATTATGTATCAAACCAAGAAAGAATAAAAGGAGGAGGAATTAAACAAGGAGAACAGTATTGGAAAGAGCAAAAACCAAAACAAAAGGTAAATTTTTTTTGCTTCATACTGATTTCTTGATTTCACTAAAATAGACTGACATCTTTTATGCATGACATGATTGTAATTCAAACGAGTTTTATAGAAAGAAAAAGAAAGGCAATTATTGGTGTCTGTCCTGATTGAAGGACACAGAATACTGTACCTGATAAGATCTTAGGTCTTATCATAAAAGTAATGATAAAAATAAAAGAAAAGGGGATGATCATTTTAAGGGGATCAATCTCTTGATCGCTTCGAGGGGATCGATCTCCTTGATCGCTTCGAGGGGATCGATCACCTAGGGTTTGTCCAGAATAACATTTCATTGATTGATTGAAAGAAAGAGTTATAGAGTTCCACCTAGGATTCACTAGGACTTGGACTCTTAATAATAAATAAATATTAAATAAATCTCTACCTAACTCTAACTAAACCAAACATGCTCAATTGAATTAAACAGACTCAATAAACATTATTCAAAAACTCAAAAAAAGTATCATAACAATTTCTTCCTCTTCAAATCAGCCTTATCCTCAAGGCTGAGTAGCATCAAACTTTGAGAGTTTCTCTTTCAGCACTTCAGTCATATATTATCTGTAACGCATCATAAATCATTGATCAAGTAAGTAGGTCTCTACTTTTTTATAGTATAAGCAATAGGTCCGTTTTTTAGTGTAGTAATTGTTGCAAGAAACTTCTGACCCTGTATAATCAATTTTATCTTTGAACATTTATTAAAATCTATCTTTTAGTAATCTTTACTTTAAATCTGTCATAGTCTTCAATATGGTGGGCTAATCGACTTGCAATTTTTCTGTCCATAAAATTATTAGTGCTACCCGTATCAATCAAAACAGTGTCAAGCTGATGCTTCAAAATAGTGACCGGTGGTTGCGGCAGCAAAGGATACTATGTTTCTGCTGCACTATAGGAGAAGCCGCTAGCGATGCTGAATGATCACAACCGACGGTGGCTGGCAGCGGTGGTGCAGCTAAAGCAGCGTCACCGATGGGCGGCTACAAGTGGTGGTCCGCTGGATGGGAAACAATGGCCGCAGCCTTCTTGCTCGAGCGAGATGGGGAAGCGAGGAGAGAAGGTTGCTGGCCGAGGCATAGTGGCGGCGGTGGGCGTTAGCTAGGGAGGGATGACGGCGGTGGTCACCGGCCAGGAAGAAGCGTCGACAATGGAGAAGAGGTAGGTGGTCGGCGCCGGAAAGCACTATTTATAGAGTTCCACCTAGGGTCTTATCGTAAAAAAAATGAAAAAAAATGGAAGAAAAATGGATGATCACTTCGAGGGGATTGACTTCTTAGGGTTTGTCAACGTATTGGAATAACATTTCATTGATTGATTGAAAAAAATAGTTACATCACTATTTATAGAGTTCCACCTAGGATCCATAAGGATTTGAACTCTTAATAATAAATAAATCTTTACCTGATTCTAACTAAATCAAATAGACACAGTAAAAAACTGGATTAAACAGACTTAATAAATAGATTAAAAAAAAATCCTAACAGTACCCCACAAGTTCATCAATTTGTTCCTGAACAAATTCCACAACCTTCTCCAACGTGTCACAACAGAATCATATGCAATCCCTCAAATTTAATTTCACATTGAGTTTATTGTTATTAACTTAGGCTAATGATTCAAACTCAATTAAATTAGTGAGTTATCCGATAGCCTTAGGTGGGCTCCTATACATAGCATTTG